TTGTAAAATTATGTAACAATACTTTATACATCATTTATCATTGTCTCTTAAGTGCAAAACTTACGTAGGTACATGCATTTTAAACTCTGTTTATGTTTAAGTATTTCTGTAATCGTCCATTTGGCTTTGGAAAATAATTTTGCTGGTAAGTGTAATCTGTATTTTTGGAAAGGGTAATTTAAATCGATTCATTTCAAGATAAGCAGAATTGATGTATGAAGTTTCGGATTTTATAATTGTGAAAAGATATCTTTTATCAGATTGTATGTTCTACCTGACTTTTAATTCATATTAATTTCTATGATTTATGCTCATAAATTTTCTTTGCATAACAATATGATTTATTCTTTTTTTATAGTTGTTTACAATTTTACAAATTTTTTGTACCTTTATATGATAACAAAAAGAACATATCACTTTAGTGCACATGTCTACCACTAGCGTATTTGCATAATTTTGGTTTATAAAGGTTTTGAGCACTTTATGATATCCATGCTAAGACAACAAATTCGCTGCAGTAACGTGTTTGACTAATTGTACATGAAATAATTGAAAGCTTACAAACTCCGATTTTAAAATCACCAAATATCAGATTAAATATATTAGTAAGTAGATTGAAACTTATCGGAATCATTTGATAAAATTTAGTAAAAAGAGATTTTTTTGTAAAATAAATACATCTATCAAAACTGTTTTCAAATACTATTGGCTCTGCAAATACTGAACTTAAGTAGGCATATGTATTTCAATTTATGATTACATGTGTTTAATTCTTTTTTGTTTTTCTCTCAGTGAATTTGGACTTCTGGATTTTTTAAATTATCCTGGAGTTTGGTACATTTCTTAATTCTTACAATGATACCGGTAATATGCTGCATTATGGGTAATGTGGCTACGATTTTTACTAATAAGGGCAAATAATGGATAGCCTTGTCGCACGCCTATATTTGTTATCGAATACACAATATATATACAAGTTGTTATAAAGCCATCTTTCGTTGCTTAATTTGTTCTCAGATATACTTTTTATTAATACACTAGAGACTAGAAAACTGATTTAACCTTGTCGTGTACAAAAAGGGGGTTTGCATTAAAGAAAGACGGGAATAGGATACTTTGTTTATTTAACACATATATTGGTATTTATAGAGTCCTTATAAAGTTATATTGCAAGCACACTAAATTGAAAATGACAGCTTGATTGGTGCTAAGAAAAATGTTTATTTGCATGATGCCTATTTGTTTCATAAACACCAATGTACTGCGTTCTATTCCTTTTCTGTTCGATTTTTTTTTTTACATTTTTATTTCTTTTTTGTTGTATCTATGTGAATTCATAGTTTACATTAACTGAAAGTAAATCTCATAAAGAGAGGTTTGAGTATGAAAAATCCACTTTGTTTGAAGTCACAGTAGCCTTGGATCCTGACGCAATCTCTGCTTTGTGCATCACTGTAGAACAGGGTTCCAGGCTATAAAGTTTGCATAAAATCATGTCATTAATCCAACTTTTGGATATAAAAAAGAGAAAAAACTTAAAAACAACAATACAATAATACAATAATAAAAGAGAAAAAAAGCCTTTGGAATGGTCAAAAACTCAAATATTATCCCAGATGCTTCATAAGAGTAAATGATGTCATTTCAGATAATTTTTATTATAAAGAGTTTTATTTAAATGACGTGAGACTGTATTGACTGTATAGAAAGGAAATGGACGTTCCCTTGACAATACTATAAATTTATAACCGCCATCTATAGCTGTGCTAGTAAATTATTCTTTTAACTTAGTTGATAAGTGGAAATAAGTTTAAGTTGTACAACGATTAGCTATTTTTGTCGGCAAAGTAATCAAATGGTAGCTACATATATCAACATAATAACCAAGGCCAAAAATATCTGATTTTAAACAACGTTCATCATTTTTTTTTTATGTTATGGTCTAACTAACATCTTTATTATGATCCATTTCATTAAGGAAAAAAATGAGATTATAGTTTTATTGCTTATGTTTTATACGAATGACAAGAGGAACATACTCTGCCCCCTGGTGCTACATGTAACCATACATCTCAATTACACAAAAATATTGTTAAGTCATCAAATTATAAAGACAAATTATTGTCGTCGTGATTAAGACTTATGTTTGATGTCCATTTATTACCAACATAACAAGTATTAAAGAATCACATGACAAAATGGTTTTTAGTATCACATGACATTCATATTCAATTATTACCCATCAAATGCTCGCCATCAGTCAATTTCTGTGACAGCTCCATGTTTATTAAAAAATTATGATGTTTGAATATCTTTTTATCTTATTTGTATTTGCGAACAGTTAATCAAAACATAAACAAATTGTAGTTTATATCAGGGTTTAATATAATAGACTTCAGTTGCTTACAATATGTCTCGTGTGGATAGTTGTATCATTTGCAGTCATACAACATCATCTTATTATAATACATTTGTTTTGTATTTAGAAGAAAACATTTACTTCTTTTATATTTTACACAAAACAATACGATCAATTGCGTAATTACATACAATCGACATACGCAATATCGCTTAAACGGACACAAATATTATAGATTTTGTAATTGAACAGATATTATATAAATCCGTCGCTTATTTTGGCTTTACACTATTCAACCCGTGCTAACTTATCCATTCAAGTAGTTTGATTTCGAATATCATTTAAGAAAAAAAATGAAATTGCATGTGGCGCATCAAATATAATAGTTCTAGTATCTTGTTCTGAATTATCATGACCATGAGTAAATAACACTAGTTAAAAGTAATAAAAGTAAATAATTTCTATTTTCAGCGTCCGTGTCTTCTCTAGATTTGGACAAATTGTCGAAAACACTGAAAGTCCGATATGATGTTGTCAGGAATGGAATACTTATGTATGGAACAGTTTCATACTATGCAAACATTACATTAGAAAATGCCGGTACAGAATCTATACCACGTGATGGCTGGTCTCTTTTCTTCTGTCACGATACTCTTATACAACCGGTGTACTTCAATGCATCAACAAACCAGTACACAGGTGGTGGGCTCATTCTTTCTGGAAACGTTACTCTAAGTCATATCAAAGGCTGCATGTTCAAGTTTGAACCATATAATGGCGAAAACATCTTGTACCACTTTTTACCCCTTCAACCCGGAGAGCGAAGAAATATTTCATTCCTAGCCTCCAATTGGGCCGTAAGCAAGTTCGACATGTTTCCAAACTTCTACCTTGCAAATAATACCCACACAGCTATATTGCAAAACACCAAAGACAACGATTTGTCGTACGTGTCTCCTCTTGATGATTTTCCAAAGTTCATGAGAAACATTCCTAATGATGCTGAAAGCGTTCCGCTGACGCCATGGGAGAGATATAACGGTTACAATTTTTCCAGCAAAGAAGAAGTCAAACACAAAGTTTTACCAACACCATTGAGGACAGAAACGAAGCAAGGGAGCATCAACATTGATAATACATGGACAATTGACACCAACGGACGACCTATTCTACAAGGGATGGCTGATTATCTTAGAAGCAAGAGTAAGTGCATATGGTATTCCCTAATGTTCTTATGGTTTATTTATTACGTACATAAAATATTGTTCGATTTAAAATGTAATTCATGATACTTGCTGCATATTACGAATCTTATGTTAGTTTTTCTTCAAATTTAATGAATGATTATGATGGTAATGTGATCCACATATATATTTTTAATCATTTTCCCAATTCCAAAGGAGGGGTATACTGGTCTAACGTTGATCACGCTTCATAATATCATTATATGCTGTACGTTTCTTTTAAAAGTATAAGTGCGGAAACTATTTGCTGTTCCGAATAATTACACCATGGTTTTCCCTAATGTTCTCTTTTTTAACATATGCTGAGCAGCAGTTTCATGTTATAGTTTTAGAATCGAATACGCTATCAATTCCAAATTAGTACCATTGCATGGTGGTGTTATGGAACATAGATACGCTTTGGTGCAGACAAATTGGTACCGTTTATGTTATTACTGTGTCACAATCATATTACAGCCAATAGTCAGTTAAATTACTTGATATTCTACTGACTTCTACTGACTAGAAAATAATGGGTATAGTTTTATATTGAATATGCGCTAGTTCCACCTTATATTCCTTTAAATGGTAACATTTTTCATTTAATATACATTTAAGTTAATATATTTTCCGCTACATATATGATCCATTGTTAACAAAATTTCTAGATGTCCTCCGCCCCAACAGTTGTAGTAAATGTGTTACTACCATTGTAGCAGTACAGTTACTGGTAGAGGACGTTTTAAAAGGGAGGTTGTCATACGCATATTTCATAGTACTTTGCATTGGCATAACATTGCCAGGATGATTGCTTTACAAAACATATCATATGTGTCAGATTAAATAGCTTTTATAGCTTGTTCAAGTCTCGTGTGCTCAACAAGTAGACATCTTAAGTTAAACAAATTTAGAAATTGGTAAGGTAAATTACTCTGTAGTAAGGTTAGAAAACTACCCTATATAATTATATAAAAAGTTGATATTCAAGTGATATATATTATGCACAATATTATAAGTATTGATATAAAATAATAATTCAGTTATTGTGATTTGTAGAATCACCACTGGCAAATATGAAAATCGTCAATAAAAAAGATAACGCTCCAAATGTCATACAGTTATCACTCAACCCTGGACATAATCAAGGTCCGGAAGGTTATGGTCTACAAATCACAGCAAAACCAGCCAGAGTATTCATCGTTGGCAGTACATTAGGTGGAATTCACAACGGAATCCAAACATTCCTGAGTTTAATGGCTACCGGAAGTACATTACCCGTCATGAGAGTTGTTGACAGACCTCGATTTGAATACAGGGGGATACAACTGGACGTTGCCAGAAACTTTTTTAACAAGTCGACTGTGATGAAACTTTTGGAAGTAATGGCAATGTACAAGCTTAACAAATTACAGTTAAATATGGCTGATGAAGAAGGATGGCGCATAGAAGTTCCAGGTATTCCCGAACTAACTGATGTAAGTATTATTTTTGGACGATTTTATTCTGGACTACTGATGCGAATACATATAGGGGCTGGTATTACCGAACCAGCTGATTTAAGTATCATTTTTGACGGGTTATCCGAACTAAATGATGCGAATTCATGCAGGGACTGGTATTCCCTAACTAACAGGTGTAAGTATCGTATATGCAGGGCCGGGTGTTTCCGAACTAACTGATGTAAGTATCATGCATGCAGGGCCGGGTATTTCCGAACTAACTGATGTAAGTATCATACATGCAGGGCCGTGTATTTCCGAACTAACTGATGTAAGTAGCATGCATACAGGGCCGGGAATGTTCGAACTTATTGATGTACCTATCATGTAGAGGACACATGAACGATCAGTTTAAAAGGCAGCCAAATTTACCTTTAATTTAAGGTTAACACGATTCTTAAAAAAAAAACAAGCATAAGAATTTCGATATACTGCATCTACGATATCAGTATTTGTTCTCAAATCTTCAGTCAGTTGGTTTTTTTTCTTTGGCTAAGGTGTTGGATTTATTCTAGTAGTATATACTTACTTTAATTATCAGAAAAAGTCAAAAATAAATGCCAATTACTCTTTATATTTTTGCGATGTTTTATTTTTAAGTGGTAGAACCTTGAATGTAATATATGCACGATCCCGAATCTTTCTTCGATCAGATAGACGCAATTAATTTGGAAATTTTAAACCTAAACACATTTTATTGGCAGAATCAACCAAGAATAAGAACCAAAACATGAAACCAAAACCAATTTATCGATTAGTGTAATAGATTCCTATGTTATATCAATAAGCACCTTAATGATCAAATTATATCTGATTTGAAAAAAAACCAAATTAAAATGATAAATCAATTTCAAAAGTATGTTGTTTTTTCCCCAGATTGGCGGAAGACGATGCCACGACGTTAATGAAACAAAATGTTTATTTTCCCAACTTGGTTCAGATCCTAGCGGGAACGGAACAGGATCAGGATACTACACTCAAAAGGATTATATTGACATCTTACGTGCAGCAAAGTTTAGAAACATTGAAATAATTCCATCAATAAATATGGCTAATCGGGCACGCGCTGCTATTGTGGCCATGAATGCATATTCTAAACGTACAAAAAATTACGATATGGCTCTAATGGACGTTACCAATGCACCATTATATTTGAGTGACAGTTTGTATAGTGATAATGCTATAAATCCATGTATGCCATCAACATATAGGTTCCTTGACCGTATCATTAAAACATTAAAAGCTTACCACAAAGATGCTGGTCATCCCCTTAAACTGTTCAATGTAGGTGGTGATGATTCTCCACGAGCTGCATGGCTTAATTCTACATACTGCGTTGATTTAGGAATAGTCGATCCCGATCCATGGATGAGAATTAAAGTCAATTATACCACGAACTTGGCTAACTTAGCAAGAGCTAATGGAGTTAACTTAGGAGCATATGAAGAATTTTTTGTCGCTTTCCCAACACTGGATCCGCTTGGTGGTCCACTCACACCCTTTTCGAGGTCACGTTTTCCGAAGGAAGTCGAAATTTATGTTACAACAAGAAATACTCAGACAGATACCTTGCTAAAGAGAGCATTTGTTTTCGCCAACAACAGTTATAATGTAAGTGTATATAGTATTTTCAAGTAATCATTTTTATTCTATTTTACAATCTTTTCAATTTACCAACATTTTATAAAAATATAACTGAAATGTAAGATAAAGATAGTTTCAAAATGTGCAAGTACTATCTTGAATTATAATGCAATTTCGTTTGTGACGTTCGTTTTGATTGGCAAATACCTCAAATTTCAGGTCAACAACTTCACGTTTGATGGTCAGATTTAAGCAGGCATGCACAGATGTCGTGTATCTGATTTTGAAATGTATCATTTAGCGATTTTTTCTTACAATTGCATCAAAATGGAGATAATAGTAAATTATTTGAAAATTTGCATGCATCAATTGGTGATTAGATGATTGCAAATTCAGTTTACTGGCGACGCGTTACATTAACTCCAGAAATGGAACGTCATAGGTTGCAGATCAAAACTCAAGAGTGAAAACATATTCTGATTCAATGTGTTAGGGCGAAAGTTAAAAAAAAAGGCAGCATCAAGCAACACATGATGATTAATTTTTATATGTTTGTTTTTGATAGGTAATTCTGTCGCCCTCGAATTTCATGGCTTTAGATCACGTGAGTGAACCTGATCCAAGTCTTCCTGGCGATTATTGGGCTACAAGATACATCAATATATCAAAGATCTTTGGCTATGCTCCAGATAACTTCTGCTGTAACTTCAGACCAGATAAATTTAATTATGTTTCTACAAGAACTGATGAAATGGAAAACTATGGTTGCTTGGATGACATTTATTGTGATTTTCCAATTGGAAAAGCACTCGTAGATAGAATATATTCTAATTTGAAAGGTAAGATTTATGATACTTAGTTTATGATTTAAAGGCTTATCCTGGTTTTGAGAAATTTCAACAGTGACCAGAATTTTAATCAGGTGTTAACAAACAAACTGAACAAAGATTTGATTGGTTGATTCTGTAAATCCACAATTTGCAATCACTGGCAAATTCATTTAGGGAAAAAACGATGGTTTTATTGCAAGTGCAGGTACTTTCGATTGTTTCCGACAGGTAACAGTTTATAATTATCTAGGAGTTCATTGGTCATATACAAACTAATTGGGATAATAAATGAAAGTAAATATAATGATTGGTCATTATTTTTCAGACGGCAAATCTGTATCTATTTAATTCTATATCTTCTTTATTTCTAGGAATGCAAACCCAGGTATGGACTACAAAAATCAGAAGTGAAGAACATTTATTTCAGCTACTTATGCCAAGGTTGATCGCTTTTGCTGAAAGGGCATGGCATAAAGCTCCATGGGAGTCCACTTACCAACCAAGAATAAACCTCCGACGTGGTTTCCCAAGACCTGATTTAGAAGCCCAAGAAAAAGATCTTGTTGAACTATTGAGTATTATTGGACATAAGGAATTTGATAGGTTGGCAGACCATGGTATTCAGCCATTTATGCCTCCTCCAGGAGCAAGGTAATTTTCTTAAACATGGACCTATGTGCTGTACATTGTACTTACGTCTTTATTGAGGCTTTTTTAATTTTTCAGTTATGTTTATAGGATTGTTTAAGGTTTTTTGTTGTCTCCTCCAAGTTTTGATAGGATCACAATCCGTCTTATATTTGTGGTTCATTACCTTAGTTTATCATTAGTTGTCGTCTGCTCTTGTTGTTTTTTTAATACCGAACGGGAGAGACCCTCATGGGTAGTCAAGGTCTTTAAACACCCCCTAGTAGTAGTAGTACTTTATTAATACACCTACATAAGTTAGTCTTTAGTTGTCGTCCTCTCTTGTTTTTTCAATACACCTATCTTAGTGTATCTTAAGTTGTCGTCTGCTCTACTATTTTTGGATATACCGATCTTTTATTGTTCAAACTCCTGCTTTGGTTGATCTAAATTTGTTAGTTTAGTAACGTGGGATGATGGACGTTTCGTGTATGATAATCATTCCTTGATTAAGACATTTTATTTTCTTCTTTCTGTTTTATATTTAAGATCCTATTACATATATATTGTTGATTGTGTTCGCCACATGTTAAGTGCTAATTGTGTTCGCCATATGTTAAGTGCTGATTGCTTTCGCCACATGATAAATGTTGATTGTGTTCGCCACACGTTATAAGTATTGATTGTGTCCGCCACATGTTAAGTAATGATTGTGTTCGCCACATGTTAAGTGTTAATTGTGTTCGTCACATGTTAAGTGTTGATTTTGTTCACCACATGTTAAATTTGGATTGTGTTCGCCACATTTTTTTAAGTGTTGATTGTGTTCGCCACATGTTAAGTGCTGATTGTGTTCGCCACATGTTAAGTGCTGATTGTGTTCGCCACTTGTCAAGTGCTGATTGTGTTCGTCACATGTTAATTGTCGATTGTGTTCGCCACATGTTAAGTTTTGATTGTGTTCGTCACATCTTAAAGTGTGGATTGTGTTCGCCACAGGTTATATATGTGGATTGTGTTCGCCACATGTTAAGTGTTGATTGTGTTCGCTACGTTACATTTTGATTGTGTTCGCCACATGTTAAATATTGATTGTGTTCGCCACACGTTAAGTATTGACTGTGTTCGCCACAATGTTTAGTGTTGATTGTGTTCGCCATATGTTTAGTGTTGATTGTGGTCGCCACATGTTAAATGTTGATTGTGTTCGCCACACGTTAAGTATTGATTGTGTTCGCCACATGTTTAGTGTTGATTGTGTTCGCCACATGTTTAGTGTTGATTGTGTTCGCCACATGTTATGTGTTGATTGTATTCACCACAGGTTAAGTGCTGATTGTGTTCGCCACATGTTAAATATTGATTGTGTTCGCCACATGTTAAATGTTGATTGTGTTCGCCAAACGTTAAGTATTGAATGTGTTCGCCGTTAAGTATTGATTGTGTTCGCCACATGTTTAGTGTTGATTGTGTTTGCCACATGTTAAGTATTGATTCTGTTCGCCACATTTTAAGTGTTGATTGTGTGCCCCACATGTTAAGTGTTGATTGTGTTCGCCACATATTAATTGTTTTTTCGCATGCCATTAACTCTTTTTTATTGAGTTATTGGTTTGTTGTTTCAATCGTCTAATTGTAACATTTGGTATACATGTGCAAGGTAAGAAGGAGTGTTTATGTATTTACAGTTTTAACAGAATAATTTGTATTATTACTTATTTGTTTTTGCAGAATCCTAACCGTCAATGAACCAGCCGTAAATGGGAAACCAGGCAAAGCAAGAAAAATTTTACAAACGGACAGGTCATATCCAGCATTTGCACAGCAAGTGATCTCACAAAATAAATGGCAAGATATCAAACCAGCAACAGATATTTCAAATTTAAAGATGACTGAACTTAAATTTAGAGCAAGGTAAAACTTTATTTTGATACCATTTCTTCATAGCAAGTAACTAGTTGCCAAGATTGATAAGGGTGTAAGCTGCCGTGTATGAAGGGCATTATACAGTGGTTGTCTTGTGTTTTATCTTAATACTTATTTCCTTTTTGTTTGGAGAATTTTTTGTAAATATTTGTTTTAACTTTATTCACAACTCGGGACGAATTAGATTTAATAATTGACATTTTGGTTTAATTTTGTCGTTGGGTTGCTGTCTCATTGACGTTTACCCTACTTCTCGTTTTACTCATACTTTAATTGAATGGCAAAATTGAGTCTGCCTAGAAGATGTAGAATCGACTCTTAATCCGACTTCTTACTATTTAAAGTAGGTTTTCCATGAAATGCTACGAAAACAAGAAAGATGCTTAAAATATAAGCAGAAAGTTTTATAATAGAATATGTTTTCCTTCCCGGGTTCTCTGTTAACGGTTTTATCACAAATTGGTAAACTGCATGAAATTTTTGTTTGTAAACATAAACATGATAGTTACACCCCTTAATATAATTTTATTGTTCTGTTTTCAGAAATAATGATACGACTAAATTTAGCAAAGTAACAACTCTAAAAGTTGAGGTAAGTACCAATTACTGCAGCCTAAAATAAGATACACACAGTGCTTTCCATTTATTTATTATTTATCACAATTTACCAAAACCTCCGAGGTTCCCAGGAATACCGAATGAAGATTTGTGCATTAAGTTTTAATACAAATATAGTAATACACTCATCATAAATACCAGGATTTACGCCAGACGTTCATCTTCAAAAGCATCATCAGTCACGCTCGAATAAAAAAAAAGTAAAACTCCAAATAAAATACGAAGTTGAAGAGCATTGAAGATCAAAAACTGCTACCGGGCAAGAAATTTTTTATTTTTAGTTACGATTCATAATAGTATTATGACTCAGGGGTACATTTTGTACTAAAAGTAAGAGGTTTAAGAACAGTAACAGTGTTATTACCAAAATCTGTACGTGATATATAGTGGATAATCATACTAGTTAAGCCGTTTTTCGTTCGTTGCAGTCTGTCATAACTGTTATTTGTTTGATGCAAGCAAGCTAAAATCAGGTCATTGGTTTTATCTTTTGAATTGTTTCACACTTCGTTGTTCCGGGACTTAAATAGACGTCTATACGGTTAGCTCATTGTTGAAGGTCATACAGTAACCTATATATTTTTGCATATTTGTCCTCAAGACTTAAGCGGATAGTTGTTTCATTTGCACATTACCACAACCGTCCTTATTTTGATACTAAAATGAAAAAAGAGATGTATAGGCTTAGAAATCCAATAAGCCTACTAGAGATCAAGTTTATATTTATTTCACAATTTATTAAAAACAATATAAAATTATATAAGAACACAGAACATTCTCGTTTTTGGTAAAGTTACTATGTTTTAATTTCGTTTGTCAGTCAAATCAGCCATGTATCTGAGTGATTCCTTCTTATATATGTATATTACATACAATTAACATGTTTTTCTATTATTACAGGAATCGAAATCTCTACAACAAAGACTATTTGATGCTGGATACTGGACACCTCCACAACAAATCCGTGGTCCACGTGCAGGATAAAATATCCAAACATATTACCTCTGTGCTGCTTGAGCTCTTCTCTGACACAAAATTTATCAATTTAATCGTTGTAGTGGTTTTTTTTTTGCTTTTAAGTGTCAAAACAAGCCTCATTATGTGTTCTGGGTTTGCGATTTCAACAATTTGTCAAATAATTGGACATTAAATGTGTCAAAGTAGACATGACGAATCTGAACAATCGACATCCGGTTTTCATTGCTCATTAATCATGGTCATAAAAGTGTTTCATCTATGGTCATGTGAGTGTATGCCTTCAAACATGTGTAATTGTGGTGATTGTAATGTTCATAAATCATGTGAATAAAAATTATAAAAAATGATTACGTTTTTGTTTTATTATTTTCAGGTTTATCATTTTGTAACGAATATTCTGTACTTTTGAAAAACAAGTTCTATGAATTTTCAACTTTATGCCATTTAGGGACTTATCATTTTGTATCTGGGAGGGGGGGGGGGGGGGGGGGGGGGGGGGGCTGGTCAAAATGCAGAAGGGATCAGGTTTTTTTAAAGGCAGTGCTTTAATGCCTTTCTGGTTGCCGTGTTAATCTTTCCTTCCGCGATATCAGACATATCTACGTTGGACCACAAGTAGATCCGGAAATATTGAATTCTCTCCTCTTTTTTTTTTTGTGATATAAGATGTTTTTTGTTTCATTTCATTTACATTGGGAAATAAAGAAACGATCATTGTGTTTTGTTGATTGTAAAAACTTTTAATATAATTGTATTTTGCATTATTAGCAGTCAACCGATTGACAAACTAGAATTATTTGAATTCCGTGTGGAAAGAGGTCGGACCAATTTCGAGTGTTATCTTCTTTCGGTTTTCATTAGTCCTTCATTATTTGAAGATTATATACTGTTTGCGCTGCGTGGCCTATATATATATTTACAAAAACACAAAAATAATTGAAAATGAATTTGGAGTGCGTAAGAATTTTAAATTGTGATTAAAACTATGTACATAGGCTAATAATGAGTTAAATGAATTTGTGGAGAACAGTTGGTGTAAGCTGTTCTCTGAAAGTGTCGACTGTGGTTACAGCGACTGTGTGGACTGGTAGTAAATGCCACTGAGTAATGGTGTACGGAAAAAATGAAAATTTATATGTATCTTTTTTGGTAGAAATGTGTCTGAAAGTGAAACTATGATTTTTGCGGGTTCTACTGTCTGATGGTATGAGAATAGCAGATGGGATTGCTACGATTTGATGTACTATTTTGTAGAACATTATCAATCTTGTGCGTAGTCTTCTTTCTTGTAGCGTGGGCCAGTTTAGTGAGTTTATCATGTCTGTAGGACTACTGATGTTATGGTACTTGTTACAGACATATCTGGCAGCTCGTCTTTGGACCATCTCAATTTTAGAGGTTTGTTCAGCTGTGTGAGGGTCCCATACTGAACGTGAATATTCAAGCTTAGGACGAACTAGTGCCAGATATGACTGGGTTTTGATGTTCTGACATGATGTTTTTAAATTTCTTTTTAAGAAGCCCAAAGATTTGTTTCCATTAGCTATGATGTTGTCTGTATTTTTTGACCATTTTAAGTTTGCTTGTAGTGTAATGCCCAGATATTTAGCTGAAGAGACTAGTTCAAGTTTGTGATTGTGAAGGATATAGTCATGTTTAAACTGTTTTTTCTTTTGTGATACTGTAAGGACTGTGCATTTGTCTGGATGGAAAGCCATCAACCAGTCTTGTTCCCACCTAGCAGCTGCATCTAAATCTAACTGGAGTTCATCACTGTTACTTTGAGATTTGATGGTTTTGTAGATGATACTGTCATCGGCAAACAGTCTGAGCTTACTGGATTGTAAGTATTCTGGTAGGTCGTTGATGTATACCAAGAATAATACTGGGCCCAGAACTGTGCCTTGAGGGACACCTGAGGTGACTGGAGCCAGGTCAGATGACTCTCCATCCAGGACAACTGTTTGTGTTCTGTCATTTAAGAAGGCAGAGACCCAGTTTAGTGTTTCATTTTGAATACCATAATAGTTCAGTTTATAGAGAAGTCTTTTATGAGGGATTTTGTCAAATGCTTTGGCAAAGTCCATTATAATTAAGTCTGTTTGTGTGTTGTTGTTGTTATTTGCTGCAAGCTCTTGGATGAATGAAATTAGTTGGGTTTCACATGATCGTGACTGACGGAAGCCATGCTGGAGGTCATACAGTATATTGTTCTTTTCAAGGTGGTTGATGATGTGTTTGGTGATGATATGCTCCATAAGTTTACAGGAAATACATGTCAATGATATTGGGCGGTAATTTTCTGGCTTGTATTTTTCCCCTTTTTTAAATACTGGTGCCACATTGGCATGTTTCCAGTCTGTTGGTGTTATGCCAGTTTCAAGTGATGTTTTGAAGATTAGTGTAAGAATTGGAGCTATTTGATCTTTGAGTTCTTTTAATATTCTGCCACTGATGTTATCTGGGCCAGTTGCCTTATGTGGTTTTATGTTGAGTAGAAGTTTCTTGACACCTGGTAGTGATATTTCTAGAGGTGTTATTGTTGGGTGTGAGGTTGGACCTTTGTCTGGAATGCTGTTATTTGATTCGGTTGTAAACACTGATTGGAACTGTGTGTTGAGGATGTCTGCCTTTTGCTTTGTGTCTGCTATTAACTGTCCTTCTTTTTTCAGAGGAGCTACACCGGTGTTATCTGTGCGCAGTGATTTTATAAAGGAAAACAGTTTTTTAGGTTTTGACTGATTGTTACATGGTTGGTCTGGTTCATTTATGGGTAGATCCAATATCATTTTTTCAATATAACCCCAATATGCTTCCCTCTGTTCTTTTTGTACTTGTTTTTTCAGATGTTTGTACTTGTCTGCATACTTGATGTTTTGTTTCATTTTATAATATAATTTATTTTTTCTATTTACCATTTTCCTGAGGTTGTTATGAATACAAGGTAGTCTGTTTTTGTATGTTAAGAACTTGTGTGGGATGTTGTTTTCCACTGATTGTGTAAGATTTGTTTTAAATGTGTTCCACATATCATTTACATTTGTTTTGTCCTCTAGGTTTTGTAGATCATTGTATGTTTTTTCTAGATCTTACTAGATGTTACTCCAGTTGGCTTTGTTATATTTTAATATTTTTTAGGCTTTTCTCTCACCCTGCGTAACCAGATGTCAGATTCTACATAGACAATGTCGTGGTCACTAAGGCCAATTGGTGGTAGTGTACTGACCTTGTAAATGTTAGATGGATTATTGACGAGCACTAAGTCTAAGATTCTTTCATTTTGTGTTGGTATGTTAACTATTTGGTGTAAATTATGATCATATAGTAGTTCTAAAAGTGAATTATGCTGTTCTTGATCTGGTTTCCCTGGTATTACCTCAGGGACAGACCAGTCAATGGGGCCTAGATTGAAATCGCCACCTACTAATATGTTACTGTTTGAAGTTTGATTTATTCTACTTAATGATAAGTGTAATTGTTTTATGGAGTTCCCATCATCTGAAGGTGGTCTATAATAACTTCCAACCAGAAGGTTTTTTGCACCCGATATGTTTATTTGTGCCCAAATGATTTCAAAGTCAGTTTTTAGTTCTTGGATTTCTGTGCTGATAAATTCTTTGGTGACTGCAAGTAATACCCCTCCATAGTTTTGGTTGTTTTTACTTGGTGGTCAATCAGTTCTATAGATGTTATAAAGATCTGTTGGGAAGTATTCGAACGAGGATGAGTTTTTGTCAAGCCAAGTTTCAGTACCAAGGATGATATCTGGTTTTGCAGAGTCTATCAATTGTAGAAGTTCTGGTTTTTTATTTCGAATGGACTGGAAATTAATGTTAAGAACTCTAATAGGTTTTCTGTTTTTATTTGTAGTACGCTGTTTCTTTTTATTTTTACATTGTTTAGGTATCGGTGAGGATGTGGCTTTTGGAGCACCTGGGCTCCCCAATACTGAGTTATCATTCAATGTGTCATATAGATTTGATGTTTCAATGGTCGAGTGGTTAAACAGACTAGTTGAGAAGTTGGGCATACCACATTGTATGCATTTCCAGCTGATGTTACTGGCATTCATACAGCCATAGTGTTGAGGTGACATTCCTTGACAATCAATGTGATACCAAACATCACAACTGTCACAACAAAGTGCTTTTTGTTTCCATGTAACAGCATTTTGACATGTTCCACATGGCCACCTAGGACCAGGGTTTGTTTCTGTGTCAAAATCATTTACAATTAGCCGGATGAATAAGTATGACTGCACTTGTTGCGGAGCCTTTGATTTCAATGCTTGCAATATCTGGACTGAATTTGGTCTGCCCCAACTACTTTTCTGGAGTGCAAATACACTTATGATGGGATAATGATTAGATGGAATTTGTAATAATATATTATAAGCAAGTGGTCTTGTATGTGGTGTTATGTTGCATATTGTCTTAGCACCAAGAATATTAAATAGTGAGAATAAGACAGGTAGTACAATAATACAGTATTTTAGTACCATGGTTGATCGTGTATGGCACACCGTGTTTTCGTATAATTAATGCTTTACTGCGATTAAATACCTGTGCTTGAGATCAGAAGTGTGGAAAGAGGGTACATCAGTTGTTAGTAGAGTGTACACATGTTAATCTTCGCCTCCTGGGCAACTCAGGAGTACAGGTTATATGAAACGCCTGATTAATAAACAGCAAAGTAAAGTTTCTGAATGAGATGTTTGTTTACTTCCGGTTTTCAATTTGGTCACATAATATTTGGCAGTATCTGTAAAAATATTTCAAAAAGTGAAATCTGCTTTTAAAGGTGTATTTTAGTTATGTATTGATTATACCTATGTACATTGAGTAAATATATAATAATATTCAAGATTTAGGGTGGTAACGATGTTTGTAAATACCAATTTTTCACAAATTTTTAAGAGCCTAAAGAAGATCGTCTATTCAGGTCCACGCATGCGCATTCCATCTAGATGTTTTTAAATCATTTCAGACGTTGATATAACAATTAAAGGTCGACTAAACATGAATTATATTTCATATTATAAAATTTAAAGCGCATTTCTGTTTATGCACGTGAAGCCTTATGACGTTATCGTTATATAAAAAGTAGCAAATTATCGTTCCTGAGTAGGTGGCGCCGTGGTAGCCGATCCTGTTTCCTAACTTCCGGTTTCTGCACTGCAAAATTTTAATTAACGATGCCTAGTACTTGTTGTTGTGTACCTGGATGTCATTTAAGAGGAGGACATGCATTTCCAAATGATTTAAAAAGAAGGAAAAGTTGGATCATCGCCATGGTTCATACGCAGATTGGACGAGAACACGAATCTCAATCAGCTGTTCAGCCTGTT